TTCATATTGTGTGTAGCTACAGATCCTCGCCCCCCCCACCCCCCGAACAGAAGGAAGGTGGCCACCCTCTGCCTTGGGTCTCCCCTGCCCCTCTCCTCTTGGATAGTCTCAGCGAGTCACATGCATGTGGTGTTTGGTGCCTTGCATGAAATTCACATGCAGAGGCAAGTTCCAGTCTGCATGCTGCTTAATGAATGTTTTTTTTCCCTTTTCTCTCCCTCCTTGTTATGTGCTTTCAGAAGACAACTATGTGGAAGGTGGGTGCTTTCTATCATATCATATTTTCCAAAGCTCTTTTCTTCCCATTCCTATCCCTTCTGTTTAGTGTTTTGCCTCCTGCTTAGTGTTTCTAACGGTACACCTAATCATTAAAGACGGTAAGTTGATTTCCTTCTTCCCTTCTGAGAATGTACCAGTTTTAACAATGGAGATGGTATGTGATAAATTCTCCCTTGCTCTCCACATTTTAAATATATTGTTGAAATACGCATAATCTCTTGGCTTCTTGTGGGAAAGCAGAATAAATTTTCTGCATGGTGTTCTTGCAGTAATAATGACACAAAAATTAAAAGAGAAATAAAGGGACCTCAAAATATATTTGTGTGGTATAATCCTATTAAATGGCTGGCCTGTTTTACAGGATGCTTTTGAATATTAGCAAACTTGCAAAATAAGCTGCCACATTTTTTTCGCTTGTGGAAATTTGCAGATTTACGAAGGAGTCCCCTACCAGCTCATAGGCTGTACAGCAATCCGGTTTGCTCCTCCTGAGGTACACAGAGTTCTGTACAGAGCCCAGTGGGGGACTCTCGCCTCCCTTTCCTTGCAGCACCTGTGCCCCATTGCAAACTTCCCAAGGGCAGATGAGCTTCAAAAGGCACGCTGTCCTGTGGGACTGTCATCATCACACTGAAAACCGCTAATTGCTGCTCAGAAACTAAAACAATAGGACTCGGCCTGCTTGGAGGTATCCTGATCCATTTAATAGAGGGATTGATGCTAGAAAAGAAAAAAAAATGCGGTGTTCCTTGATGAGCTTACTGGATTGTGTGTTCTTTAGGGAACACAGCAAAGAGTTAAGAGAGGGTTGGATTCTCTATGCCAGCTATATGATGATCCGCTTGTGTCAATGAGGCCCATTGTGACTGGGGAGCTTTTATAGCATTCCCAATGTGATAGAGAAAGACGCTGGCTTTTCCCCTGAGGGAGGAAGAAAAAAAGATGGCTCTATGACGAAGGGGTGAAAGGAATTCTGAAGGATGGGCAAAATTCCACTAACTTTGAAGATGTGAGACTATTCATTTGGCAATTGCATTGGCAGCCAGGTTTCCAGCCTCATGTCCACATGGCTGAGGTGGAAGGGATATCAGTAGCTTCTCTTTCACTCACATGTGACTCCATTTATCTCCATGGCTTAATAAGATGGAGCCCAGGAGTCCATATTCCAAACATGCTAGTGGAATATCTCAGTTCCACTAGTGACACAAGAGCAGGACACCAGTACATAATGAGCTTTCTTAAGTAAGCTACCCAAAGCACAGGAAACTTCCCCGTAATCACAGCAAGTCGGAACGCTGGTAAGTACCTTCTTCAGTCAGTAAAATGTGCTTTGGTGGGTTTTCTAATACGGTACAGAAAACACAGTCTATTAACAACTGCTGCTGTTTACAGGAGTTGGATGAGACTTTTCATCAGGCCATCCCAACTTTTGTTCCACTAAATTGAAAACAATTTATCAGCCACATATTATGAGCTGCCAAGGGCTGCCTTGGCAGTTTCGTAGCCCCGGGCAGGCAGCAATGCCAGGAGAGTCTTGGCGCCTTCTGGTGGGCCATCAGGCAATCAGCATGGACTATCTGCTGCTTGGTGGTTCATGAATTATGCAGGGCCCCTTTAGATCTATGGATTTCAGTGTATGTTTTCTGGCAGAATCATTGTCATCCAGAGGTTTTTGTTGTTTTTGCTGTTGCTCAACTGTATTCCGGAGGAAGACATGAAAGCTGAAGCAAAACTCTCTCCGGATTTAACAAAATGCGCACAGACGCACATATGCATGCGCATACTCACACACACACACACACACACACACACACACCGAGGGTCTGGTGAAGCTGATAGGAAAGTGTAGTTTGAGTCAAATCCACAAAGACACTTTAAGAACAGATAAGAATTATCTCAGCTAAGCAAGAATCCCCTTAACCAAATTGACCCTAAAAGCAGGGGGACTTACACAGGGGAGTTGTGAAGTAGCACCTGATAGTTGGGGCTTGTTTCCCCCCACCTTGAGGTTCAGTATTACAAGAAAAAATCAACTTAAGGTAAACCAGCTTAAGTTGCGTGACAGCCCCCCCCCCCGCCCCACTCCCAAACAAGGCCTACCCAGGAAGCCACACCTGGCTTCCAAGGAAACATCATTGCTGGAATTCTTACTTTTGCTGCCATTATGCAACTGACCAAGCATCCTTTGGATGGATGCGGCCCAAACTGCACGGAGGTGGCACCATTTCCCCCCTTTCCTGGCCAGAAGTGCTGCAGACGTGCTGTGATGCGGTTCTGAGCCAGAGTGAGGATGCCTCTGAGGACATCCTGCGCTTCCCCTTCGTCCATTCCGACTGCGCAGGTGTGTGCGCCAAGCGAGGGGCGCTGTTAGGGAGCAAAGGCAGCCCATACGGCCTTCACAAGGACTGGCATTGCCAGGCGATTCCCCGTCGCCCATCACTCCTAAGGTTACAGGAACCATTTCTTAAGCCTGTATATTACAATAGCATTCATCATTGTGGGACGCTTCCTTAACGAGTGCCCCCTCCAACTTGTATGACTCCTGGGCTTGATCCGCACGTTTCCTAAAACCATAAAGCCCCAGTGCAAAGATCGTGCTTCTAGCTGCAGTCCGCCATGAACCGCTGCTGTTACACCTTCCAGTAGACAAAGCTCTTTGAGCAGTTTAGAACAAATAAGCCCAGCCGGGGTCCAGTTCTACACAGGTGTAGATATCAGTGCCAATGCCAGCCCTGACTTATCACTGTCTAAATAGGGATAGGATCCCACCCTTAATCAATCAGCTCTCTAGTACACAAAGTACACAAAATACATGTTCTTACCCACTCCTCTTTTTCCTGAACTGAAACAGAACCACCTAACAAGAAAAATATAAAGAAGCTTTGGGTGTTATCCCAGAAGTCTGCATGGGGTGGAATGAATAGGAATTGAGTGCACTTAGCTAGAGAGCTTCAGCTGTGGGGCAGTATAGACATGAAATAAACAAATAAATAAATAAAATGCATGACTGGAGCTCAAGCTGGATGAATCTGTGGTCAGAGATTCTCTGACATTGATGCTCCAACATCAGGAGGGGGAAGAAAATGGGGCCTGCCAGGCACAGACGGGGTCCAAAGCCCTCCTCTTTCCCTACGACAGCGCAAAATCGACCTTCACCCTGAACATAATCGATCTTATACTACAATATCAATGCTTAATTGCAATCCAATGCTGGTTCAGACAGAAAAAAGACTAGCAACTCCAGGCATAGCTGTCTGGGCCATGTGAGGAGTGGTAGAGCTTTCTCTCTCTAGGATTGGTACTTCGAGAATGGTTTTTTTGCAGAGACCAAAATGAGATTATGGACTTATCCAGATACTTCATTTGTGGTTCCCTTCAATTCAGAGGATATCCTTCGTGAAATGAAATTGTGCTTTCCTGTGGAAACCCTCCTTTCATCAAACGGTTGATGATGTGAAGTGACGTGTTTGGAATGGGGACTCTCTGATTTGGAAAATTCTCCTTCAGGGTCACTTGCTCTCTGTCTTATGTGTGCACTGGTTTTTATGTAAATTAGAAATCTTAGGGAGCGGCTTAGGAACTTTATCTTCCTATAAAATCAGCATATTCTATTGCACACCTTCTTTGTGTGAACCAATTAAAAATGCACAGAAACGAAGTGTGGCACTTTTCCAGAGGAAGGGAAGCCTGCTTTTGTAGGTTTGCTTCTAAATTGCCACATTTTGGTTTCTTCCTCCATTCCCCTAACCTTTATTGTCATATACGCTCATTTATAAAGTTCAATACATGATCTAATCTTCTACCTAAGGGGACATAAGGTACAATATTGCAAAAAATTGGAGGGAAGTGCATCTTTTATTGTGCTGTCCTTTGGCTATGCCTTAATGTTTGGAGAACTGGCTTTATATAAAACAATTTAAACTGTATTCTATACAATCTGGCTAAAAATAGTTAATTGGGAAGTTTATTCCAACCTCAGTGTACTTAAAGTTAATTTTATGCATATGCATTTGCTACCAAGCGTCCCTCTCCACCAAATTATGATTTATGTTGTTTTATGCATCCATCCGCTGGGCAGCTAATAATTTGCCTGCCCAGGAACGGGGTATTTTTCTGTTCCGACGCTTCACACAAACAAGGAGACATCCCTTGCATTATCATTTCAGTGTTACAAAGGAATTCTTTTATTTAATTCTTTGAACGGCTCATTTTCAACGAGGGGAAAAAGATCAGACCCAGCCCATTTTTCAGGTTGACAGTACTCCAGGTTTGGAAGGGGAGATGTGATCCTATGGAGGACTCTTTGGCAGCTAACGGATGAGGCGTCCTCCTCATGAAACAATATTATTGAAATGTTGACACGGCTCAGATCAGATATTCCATGAATTTGTAGAACTTGAAATCACATTATTATTATTATTATTATTATTATTATTATTATTATTATTATTGTTGTCTTCAGCCCAACCTCAATGCCTAGGGAAGAAGTAATACAGTACAGCATCTCCGTGTTACAGTAGCAGTCTGACGGCCCGTTTGCCCCCTCCCACCTCCAAAAGCATTCCAACCAGTGGTTGCAAAATGCTCTTTTAATTTGCCAACGTGATGCAAACATCTCACAGGAGGCAGATGCTTGTTGCCAAAATTTTTTGTCACTGTGACGATACCACCTGCCCATGCACCCTTGTTCATTGCTGACTGTGCTCTTGTTTCCCTTTAAGGTCTGGCGCACTTGATGATGGGCGACCAAGGTATGGGTTCTGCTCCTTTTCCACTCTGCTTTCATCATTTTTCAATTATTCTTTTATTTTGTTCCGTTTCTTTTCTTTTTCTGTAGCTGCTTTGAAATCCATCACAGCAAATACTGGCCAGATGTTGTCACGGGCTGCAAATAGCACATGATCTTAGCCGCACTTTTCTTTCTTTTGTCGTTGTAGTCGTTGTTGTGTGTATATCTATATATCTATCTATATACATATAATATATCAAAAGCTCTCTCTATGGCTGGTTTTTGTTTTTGTTTTAAGCTGCTACCTTAATCTTTTGTTCTTCTGCTTTTCAACTGTTTCCCCTACCCTACTTGCAATATAATAACTGTTAAAAAGAAAAAAAAGAGTGAGGGAACTAATAAACTGTACGGGGAATGTATTATGAAAGAAGAGTCTTGTACCCACAGAGGAGTCCTGCTTTGCGTGATTGCATGGCTGTTTGGGAAATGCAGCAAGCACGTGCTCCAGGCTTCTGGAATGCTCGGAGGACATCTCCTGCAACCTGCCAAAAGCAGTGGCGTTTCCCCATCACCCTGTGGTGCCCCTCCTCTTAGCCAGTGTCCGTGTCGCTCCGGTTTCACTCATTTGGAAATGAAGCATGGGTTACTTTGGTGCTCTTCTGCATGGCCGCCCAGGTTGAAAAGCAACAGCTCTGGAAATGGGACCCCGGTTGCCTCTCCGTTTGTCTTCCAACCCGTTTCATGCTTTGCCTCTTCTCATGTTGTGGATTGTGTCAGCATTTGCATTTACACACACACGACTCTTACTGTTGTTTCTCTTCTTTGTTCTCTCTTTTGTCTGGCAATGCTTTCTTCATGGAACCATTTCATCAAATCCATAGGTAAAAGTAAAGGTATTACATGACTTTCTTCCTTCCTTGCTCTCCTCTTCCTCCCTCTTTCTTTTGAATGACACCTGTATGCCTTAAAATATGTCTCAGTGATGCAAATCTGTGTATTTTGTGTTGATGCACTGTGGCAAGGGGAGGTGGAATAAAATATTGCATGGAACTCAAGGTAAGGATAAGAGTGAAAGGCAGAATCTTACATGCAAAAACTGGCTTTCACAAGGAGGATTTCTCTTCCAGATTTTGGAAGGAAATGTTAAATATCTCGTATATATAAAATCAAGCATTGCTGATGTAGTTCTCGGAAGCTTCACAGCCCCAGCATGATGGTAGACACCTTACACAGCTTGTTCGTGATATATTCCTTTGCCAAAGACTTCACAGTCTAAGCTTCCTGCACAGAATGAAGGTAAAAGGAAAGGCCAGGTATTGACAGAGGTGCAGGCAAGGTGAACTGATAACAGCTTACAGATCTGAGCAGGTGTATTTATGACCTGCCTTGGGAAGGCTTCACAGAAGCAAGACGTTATGCGGAGGAAGGGTGGGGAGTCCCTGATGGAGGGAGGCGGGCTGGGTTTTCTGGGATTCAGGGAGCCACATGGCAAAAGGATCGGAGGCAGGCACTGGAGAAGGGGCCCTGCCCTCAAGTCCCCTTCTGAGGTATGGCTTCCATTCTCGGTGCCCCGCAAAACTGGTGTCAGAAGCGGCTGTGAGGGCAATGGCCCCAGATAGTTACAGATGGAGAAGCGTTGGTCCAGGGCAAGCTGCAGTGACGTGTAAGTCTGAGTGTGACTGTACCTGACACATTCTCGGTGAGATGTTCCTCATGTGTGGTTAGCCTTCTGGGAACCCCAAAACCCGGAATTGAGCAAAAGCGAGCTCTGAGGACTGGCAGAGCGAAACGGAGTGCGCTTGCTTCAGTGCTGCTGTGTGCTCACACATTACATTTGGTGCAAGAACACACCACGCAGGCGCCTCTTGCGGAATGGCTCGGTAAGTTTGGCACATATCCGTGTAATTACAAGCAAACCAAGTGGAATCCAGCCAGATCTGTGTGGCCGCCTGGTTTCAGTAGGAAAACAAAACTCAGGCTTCTCTGTGTGCGGCTTTCAACACTGAGGCCCAGAGAATGCTTTTGTGGCATTTCTGTTTTGGGGAACATGGCATTTTCAGTCCCTTCCCACTTGCATTTCACGGGATGTCTTATGAACCACAAATAAGTCTTTTCTTTACAGTATTGTGCATTGTTGGTTCACTTACCCTTGCTGTTCATTCACCTTCTGAATCCTGTTGTGTAGTGAATTCTAGATATTTATTTCTCATGGGTGGAGCCGGCTGGAGCTGGGGGTCAGACTAGATGGCCCGGGAGACCCCTTCTGACTTGCTCTGTTTCTTTCTCCCCTACAGTATTAGTGGCTATTATAGACGTTTTAAGGCTAGTATGTTATTCCATTGCCTTGAAATGCCAGTGATAGTAAGTTCAAATGGTATTGAGTGTGTGTGATAGCATGCTTGGAATGGCCAAGGTATTAATATCTCCTTAATGAGCCATAAGAGTTCATAAGCGATAAATGGCATTGTTGCAATAACTGTTAAAAATAAAAAGCAAGAGGGGGTAAACTAACTGCATTTCTGCTGTTTTTATTTCCCCGTTCCCCTAGAAACACCCTGTCCGTTCAGAAGCTATACTTCTGTTGTCACAATTTTGGCTTTGCACGTTGCTTTTGTACAGTGCAAGCCACTCAGCCTCAAAATGGGAGGGTGTTGAGCCCAATGCACCAGTGCCATCCTAGAAGTAATGTGGGGTTAAGGGGGCAGGGGTGGCACTGTTCGCCCCGCCCTGAGGCAAGGTCCCACCAAACGGCAGTCTTTCCTCAGTATTCACAGCCTTGAAGTCCTTGCGGAATTTGAAGAGTACTGTGCCTTTCGGTCATTTGTTAGCAAGAACTAGGAGAAACAAAATTCTCACTCATTTTCAACAGCCAACTCCAGTTGGTACCATGACTCCGAGATGGAGAGGAGGATGCTGGACCTATTAGTCACGTAGCTGTTAAAGATTAATTGTCTGGGTAAATATTCATGAGTTCTTCTATCCCAGACTCTTCTGAGTGAAGCACTGAAAACCCAGGCCTGAATGGACATTTTCATTTCTCCAACATTCCTTTTGTGGTTGTTGCCCTTGCCCTGCTGCCTTAATCTCGAGTTCTTTCCATCTCAAATAGGAAAAAATATGCAAACATTGGTGCTCTTATTCCTGTCTTTAAAAAAAAATGTGATTCTGGCTCATCCTTCCCCTGATGACATGCATGCCATTGGCTCTGTACTGTTGACGTCTGCATGCAGGTGGCAGCAGTCCTCTTAGTGCCCTCCGCCAGGTGTTTTGCACTGGTTCCAGCCAGGATGGCCAAGGATCAGGGAGGACCGTAATAAAAACATCTGGAGAACATCAGCTTGCCCACTGTCAGGTGTGGTTCCTGACTCTCGCTGTAGTTAATCTGCCAAGTTCTGTTTTGAGTCAGTTCCCTTTACTAGACGCACAAGCAGCTTTCGCCTCAGGCTACCAACAGGATCCTCCTGTCACCAACAGATGGGACCAGGGCAGCAGGATACCCTTGAGGCCCCTCCTTGGTTCTTTGTTGCCCCCAAAGTGGTGGCACCCTACGTTTGCGAGGTGGAGTCATGCGGGCCAAAGTGTCTCCCCTGAAGGGCAGAAGGGAGAGGCTTTCTCTGTGTGGCACCTCTGGAATCCCCTCCCCCCCATTTCTGACAGGGCATCCCAGCGAGGCATGCAGCTCCCCTCCTTGCCAAGACTGGAGCTAGCTGGATGGAAGCGCATTAGCTGGTGCCTGCCCTCCCTTGAGGTCCCTGCCAGACAGAGGTTCACTGATCTGGTCCTTCCGCAGTCTGAATAGACCCAGCGCTTTCCACCCCTCTCCTGTCAGATTCCAGCAAAGCCCACTGCAGTGCTGGAGCTGGGACACCACGCCACCCTGGTATAGGGCACGGATTCCTGCCAATGGGTGCTGGCTTGGATGCGTGGCCGTGCCAGGCACCCGCAGACCGGAAGTCCCCATGGAGTGCCTACTCAGGCTTCGGCCAGCGCAAAGACTTGCCCCTTTGCAGGGCGCTGTGCTTAATGCTAAGACATCAAGGGGCGTGGGAGGGCATGTGCTGGGGCAGGGTGGGGCCCGCTGCACCCCCCCCCCCTTATCCAGGCTTACTTTCTAAGTATGGAGAAGGAGGACAGTGGGAACGGGCTCAGCCCTAATGTTGATTCTAGTGAGAGTCAGATGTGCTTAATGTGTCCCCCTATGTTTTTGCAGTTAATATAGTTCATATGGAAGTAGTTTGTTTTGCAATATCTGCTTGTTGAATATACTGCTCATACTGCAAGTCTTGTGGCAACTTAATGGGTTTTCTGCAAGGAACAGGGGAACTCCGCCAAAGATTATGGCCCCATGTCTAATTCAGCTACTGTTACCTGAACTGACCCCCTACCTGCCCTCTTGCAGAACCTAAATTTGCTGTGAAAAAGGCAGTCATTTTTCTGCCTCCTTCATTGGGATCTTGAGACTTTTTGGAAACATTTTACTGGGTGTAGAGCTTCCTTTCTTGGAAAGCCCCCTAGAGGAGTTTTGCAGGGCTCCCCCTCCCCCCCCCCCGGGGCTTTCTAGCACTGCCATATGCCTGATTGATTAGAGATTTTTAAATTTGCTTTGTTGCTATTAAAAGGCCCTTTAGCAACAACAAAAACAATAACAGGAAAAATAACATCGCCTTGCTCAGCATTCTGGCACTCAGCAGGTAGTAGCACTAGAAGACCCCGAGGGAGGAAGTCCTAGTTGAATTGTCTACGGGGGTTTTCAAGAAGTTGTAGCAGCTGGAGAAGCTGCAAGAAGAGAACGGGAAAATGATAAAAGAAATAGCACACACATTTGCTATTTCAGCCACCTCTGTGCAGTAAGGTAAGCACTGAAACTCCACACCCTGAAATATTTCTCCAAAATTCTCACCACTGCTCAGAAATTTCAGATGCAGTTTCTCTTCATCATTCCCTTGGAACAAATGGTCGAAAGTAAATAGGTCAAAAACTTTGGCACAGTGTAGTCTGAAACCCAGAGTTACATGAAATGTA